CGGATATCCCTCCTTAGCACACCCAAATACCGGCTCATTCGAGCCTGCTCCGTCAACACCTGCTCAGGGCAAAAGATCGCCCTCTCATGAAACTTCCTCGTGATCACCGTGACATAATCATTACCCTGCTTGAGGGTCAAGAACTCCTGAACCAACCGTTCCCTCTCCATCGGGGGAACGTACTCGTCTTTGAACATAGTAGTAAACCTCTCCCAAGTCACAGCTGAAACCTCCGCCAGAGTGAAGTTCGCCGTCACGAACTTCCACCAATCCTTTGCTCCCAGGCGGAGCTGGTTCAAGGCGAACCGTACCCTCAGATGCTCCGGACATGAACAAGTGTAGAAGCATCCCTCGATATCAGCAATCCATCTCATCGCAGCGATCGGATCCTGCGTCCCGTCAAACTCAGGTGGCTTCGTGTTGCTGAACTCCCGGAACAACAACAAGTCACCTCCCTGTGGTCTGGCAGCGGCCACAACTGCGGTAGCTGCAGTGGCTGCGGCCTCAGTCACCGCGGCATACCGCTCATCAAAAGTCTCCATCAGTGTGGTCTTAATAGACCCAAACATCTCCGGAATCTCAGCCCGGATAGCTGCAGCCACCTCCTCATGAATCATCTGACGAAGCTCCTCGTCATTCACACTGCTAGTACCAGGTCTGTGGCGTGGTCCAACCATGATGCCTCTGAAATACAACATAGAAATATCAGAGACTCTATCGAGCATAATCGCACTCGATAACGCAACCCTACTCAGTCTCCGATACCCAGGGATTCTTACTTGGGTTGCCCACTGACCCGGTGTCTTCAGTAGTATGGGCCCAATACTACCAACTACACCGCATCAACATTCACCCCAAGTCCTCCTCCCCAAACCCCAGATCATGAGTACTTTATTCTTGCCATGCACTAGCTACCCACTCGCTCTCAAAGCACCTCATAGAAGCAGATTTCCCTAGACTAAGGCATCACAAATCAGGCCACTCTAGTCCTAATATGAATACCTAGTCTACTAGCATGCGTATCATATCATTTCATATCTCATAACACATATTGTAAGAGTATTTTGGGTATTTTACCGTTCGGGCGCTGGCTGACCGTACACACTTCTTCTTCCTTGGTTGTTTCAAAATCACTTATCAAATTTTTATTGATTTTATTAATTAAAAATTTCTCAAATCCCCGGTTTGAGTTCAGTTACGCCCGAAGGTGTATCCGAATCCCTCAAACCAAGGCTCTGATACCAACTTGTAACGACGTAATTTTCAAACCAATTTTTCATTTTTGTAAACATCAAAAACATCGATTAATATTTCAAATTCAAACGTAACAATATTGTCACAACCAAATACATCCCAAAGATCATAAAAATAGTTTTCTCCCGACAATGTGTACTATCACGCCGGCGCCTACGGTCCTCGCTAGTACTTGAAACACATAACACAACAACTGTAAGCATAAATGCTTAGTGAGTTCCCCAAAATACAACCTACGCACATATGCCTTTCCAGGCCCTGACCTTCCGGTCCATGTGTCTCAGGGGACTTCCATCCCGACTAGGTAAACCTTCCGGCCCTACCCACGTCAACCTTACGGTCTACATCACAACGCCTTCCGGCCCGTAACATATTCGCCTTCCGGCTCATAACATAATGCCTTCCGGCCCATATCAAGCATATCATACATGGCACATATAACGAATAACTTATCACACATAATACATATATCTCATATCATATTCGACCTTCCGGTCACACAGTCAAACCCTTCCGGGTACAGTATAGTGAGAAAACTCACCTCGTGGAAAGTCTAAGATCTCGCGTCCTTGCTATCACCGAATCCAAATGACGGCTTTACCTCGCCTAAACATAAAAATATCATTTAATACACAAAGACTTCCACCACTAAAACTTTACCCCTTATCAACATTCCTCAAAGGGTAAAAGACCATTTTACCCTTCCTTGACCTAAAGTCCTCATGTTGACCAAAACCCTAAAAGTCAACAAAGTCAACTCTGAGAGTACGCGGGGCGTATTGCTAGATGTACGCGGGGCGTACTGCTAGATGTACGCGGGGCGTACATCGCCAACCCCCCTGGATCGGGGTCTCCACCCAGTACGCTGCGCATACTGGAAGTTATGCCCAGCGTAACAACCAGAATCAGCCACTCTCCATTTCTGGTCTTAATCGGTTAAGCCATTACTACAACTTCTAGATCCGAGTCTTTTAGTGTGTCTAAACCCATAAAGTCGAGACCTTTAAGCCTTGGCATGGCTGTAAAGGCTCCAACATCACATAACAACATTCTTTTCCAACTCAAGGACCTAGATCTCATGCATGGTGCAATACCCACGTCCAAGATGTCATTTTTATGAGTCTACAACTCCAATAGATCATAAATATGAAGTATCTAAGCTTATGGAGGCCATTTGCACAAAAAGTCTCCACCTTTGGGACTTAAACCCTAGAAAATGATACCTTAAGCATATAACATGAACCAAGTGACAAGATCCAAACTTTTTACCTGATAATGAAGCTTTAACCCTTGCAAAGCTCAGATCTACACTTGAGCACCACTTCTAGCCTCACCAATAAACTCTTCTTCTCCTTTGCAACCTTGGAATGGCACCAACAAGCTTAGAATACACACACAAAGGCTTAAGGACGATGGCACACACTATTTAGGGTTTCACTCTGAGGGATGGTGGCTGAGAAGTTCAGCCACACATTCCTTTTATAGCCCCTCCAAAGGAAATTAGGGTTTGGATCTGAATAAGTTACGCCGGGCGTAACCTTGGGTACGCCCTGCGTACCTGAGGGGGAACGCGTCCAAATGAGGCGCGCGAGTACGCGCAACGTAGACCTTGTACGCCCAAGGGAACGCGTCCAAATGAGGCGCGCGAGTACGCGCAACGTACTCGCCTACCATGAAAACCCTAAATTAACAACTTAATCCAAAATAGAAGAATACCTGGATTCGGGTTGTTACAATATATATATATATATATATATATATATATATATATATATATGTATATATATATGTATGTATGTATCATACCCTTCTCAGTTTAACTAGCAAGTTTATAATAAGGTTGACAAAGAACTTGCTATCAAAATAGTAACTTTGTCTTGAATCCTCCTTAACCATAAAATATAAAGTCGTTAAAAATCGATAATGGTCATGTGACTTTTTGGTTTTTCAATAGTTGAGAAATTGTTATCTTCTCAAAAATGTAGTAGGGATTCTAAATATTTCTTTGATTTAAAGGAAGATTGTCGAAATTTTTCATGGGTTCTGTTTTTATATAGCTTTTTGATGGCTTATTTAGATAATTTTGTAGGACAAAAAGATGTCAGGTATGTATTTGAAGTAATTTTTTTACTGCTAGATGATCCATTTTGTTGATATTTTGCAGGAGATTTTGCTGGAAACATGGAAATAGACTTCACTTTGAGTCTAATCTTTTCTCTACGGAAATAGACTTCACTTTGAGCCTGTAACACAGTAAGATTAAGTTCTCTATGTGTGTGTTTATGGTCTTTGCATTGGTTTTTTTAATCTTCAGTTTGCACATTAGGAAATTTAAATGTTATCAGGTCATGTAATTGTAAAGTTACTGCCTTATTACCCACAGTCGCTATAGTATGGGGAAGTTTTGGAGTTGTATGGACAATTTTACCCATGGGTCTTGAGTAAGGTTGAGGATGCTTATTAGAGGTTTAATGACATGTGTAGGTCCAGTAGGGATGCCATAGGGAGAATGGGTGGCTTTACCCTTGGCAACCGTATGGGTTAAATATTTTTCCTTGTGCTTATACTGTTGACTGTAGTTTAAAATTTCTTATTGATTGCTGCATAATGGAGATTCCTTGTGCTTATTTTCTCCCGTTTTTTATTGTTATCGGATTTCACTTAAAAAGTGGGTTTGTAGAAGCATGGTCTTGAAACAAAAAGTAAGTAAATATATTTACTTTGTAAAGGGTGACGTTGATAAAGATGGTCAGTTGCTATTTCTGTTTACTTTAGAAAATTGGGTAGTGATGATCATCATAAAGAGGCTTCTGAGTTTTTTTTGATAAAAACATAATTGGTTACATTGAGGAAGATCCCAGAGAAACTTTAGTTGATGAATCTGAAACTCACAATGAGGAGATCATTGCTGCAATTACTCTAAGGTTTGCATTTGTTCCATTTTTTGTTTTTGTTTATTCAAGACATTTTTGCGACATTTTATTCAATTAATTTGATAATTTGATGGTTTTAGGCTGGAAAAATTAGTTACGAGGAGTTTGAAGTAATGATGAAAGCAGGAACTAATGGGAGGAAAGCATTTAAAAATTCAATAAGTTTGGTTACCATAAAGAGAGAAAAGCTTATTGGATAAGAAAGATGAGCAAGGACAAACACATAACATATACTCCATTAACACCATGAAATCTTTTCAGTTCAATGTTTTCATATGCTTTTTTGTGTGGGATTCTAATATAAATTATTGAATTACCACTCTTGAACAAGATATTAGAAACCCATCTGTAGGTAATTTTATTGGGTCACTACAAACACCATTCCAACCCATGCAAAGCATGACACCTAGTGCCGGTCCAAACATATATGGGCCCAGGGCGAAAAGAAAAAAATGGCCCTTAAAGACAAATATCATAAAAATTAAAAAAAAAATATCATTCATTCTTCACTATAAACGCTAAATTGTTTATCTTTTTTGCTAGTTTGAGTTTGAACTAACTTTAGGTCCTAAAAATCATTTAGGTATCAATTTATATATATATATATATATATATATATATATATATATATATATATATATATATATATATATATATATATATATATGCACAACATAACCCAAAAATTTTGGACCCCTTGAAGACGTGGGCCCTGGGCGGTCGCCCGGATTGCCCACCGTCTGGACCGACCCTGGCACCTACACTAGTTATAACCAAAATCTAAACTCAATATATTGTTAATAGGCTAGAATGCTACATGTTGGCAAAGAAGTTTCCATGACAATACCCTACCGGTTCCCTCTAAATGATAAAAAAGAAGCCAAGTGTCGACTGTCGAGGAAGGAAAAACAGGCGAAGTCCCTTCCTAGTCCTAACAGATCTCACACGGCGATTTTGGCTTCGTTTCCCAATCGACTCCACCACCTTCTACAAACCTCACCGATCGACTCCGACCTTCTTCTTTGATTAAGGTATGTCTAATATCTTTCGTTGACTTCTGAAAACCTAACACATTCCCCCTCCCCCTCGCTACTTCGGGAAAATAACACTCCGGCCTAATTCTCTTTTTAACCGTGGTTAAAGCTAACACATCCCTCTTTCTGGGAAACCTAAATCTGTGACAACATTGATTGAATTTCTTTTTAAATTGTTACCTTCTAATTAATATAGTTCAATACTTCTGTTATAGCATTCTTAGTTCTAACTGACAGCCACAACAACATATTACCATTATCATACAATTTCCACACTGTAGATCACAAGTCACATACTTGAATGCCATAAAGTTCAAAGATTTGTTTGAGCAATCATCGTATCATAAACCATCCGTTAGGACCATAAGTTAACATCAATTTACCATTATTAAATATCTCCTTCATTCATGACAAACCCTAGCTTTATCCCCAATTCAAGAACATATTCCGTTGATTGGTGCTTATAGATGGAGATTAAAGCTTGTTAATCCAAGCTCATAGCCTTTGGAAATGGTTTATTGTGCCCTAAAATTTCATAAATTTCACATTAGTAGTCCAAATGACTCGACTTAAAGTAAGAATCTCCAAGAGAAGATAGAATCACTGTCTATAGTTAAATATCTTTTCAGATAAAAAGGGATAAGAAATATGAACCACAACCAGCAATCAAACGATGATGAAACTGCACTCACAGATTTTCTTGCCTCTTTAACAGACTACACCCCAACTGTAAGATTTCATTCTAGTTTCTCTTTTACACTTATTAACAATTAACAAATCAACCTTTTATCAAGATAGTCTTATATTATATGTTCTTTTTTTAACAGATTCCTGATGAACTGGTGGAACATTACTTAGCCAAAAGTGGGTTTCAATGTCCCGATGCTCGATTGTATGTATCTGAACTGGTATCATCTCTTATGTTTCTATCTACCCACATATTACTTTCTGATTTTTAGCTATTTTCATATGTTTTCTTGAAAGATGTGATTAAAAATTGTACAAAACACTCGGGATTGTGTTTACAGAATCAGGTTGGTTGCTGTTGCCACTCAGAAGTTTGTTTCAGAGATTGCTACTGAAGCTCTTCAGTAAGGTTTCTAAAACGTGATTCTGTTACTTATAGTTATTCCAATATCTTTTTTGTTTTGTAAATTCTGCTTAAAAGTATTTTATAAATATTTTATTTTTTAATCTTATTGTAGGCAATGCAAGGCAAGACCAGCACTGATTGTCAGGGACAAAAAAGATAAGCAGCAAAAGGTATCTACTGAACTGATTCACATTTTGAAATTGTCATTTTTGGATCTTTTTTGTATATTCACACACTTAAAAGGTGTGTAGAACTATGAGCAATTGTTGTAGAGTTATCATGAGTTTTCTTTGTGACAGGATAAGCATCTAATTATGAACATGGATGACCTGTCCAAGGCTCTTCAAGAGGTAATAACTAATGTTTTTATTTATTAGTAATTAAATTTATGGAATGCAATAAATCATCCCATTATTTTGGTTATTCCATTCCATATCTGATACTAATGCAACATAATTGTTGTTGGGATTGCAATTTTTGAAGTATGGTATAAATGCAAAGCATCAGGAGTATTTTGCAGATAGCTCTTCAGCTGGAATGGAATCAGCTCAAAGAGATGAATGATTAGAGCATATTCTTATAAACATCATTCCATAGGTTAATTTTACCTTTTATATATATTAGACTATTCGTCTTTCTACCAACTCTTTAAACTGTATGATCTAACTGTTTATGCTCTATAATTCTGATAAGCTGTGAGTTCACCTTCTTGTTCCAGAAATCTAGTAAGGATATAACACCAAAGAGATCGCATAGATAAAGAAAATAACAGATGGAAACTTCATTGATAAAATCCATCTTTAGATAAGAGATGGGCTCTCCAAAATGCCAAAGCAATACTAAGTTTTTCCACACCCAATTCAGACTCAGACAAGGAACTTAAATAGCATAGAAAAGGACAAAAATAATAAAAAAGCCTGCAGCTCCAGCCACCACATAGTGTTGCTCCCATTACTAATGTTTCCCCACAAAAAAAGAGCTGCAAACGCCAAAATTACCATCCTACCCCTGGGTGTCTTGAATTGGTTGCTTGATGACATTAACCCCACATTACCCCAAATTGTGTCCAAACTGTCAGATTTGGGAAGAGCTACAAAATCCATGCGAATTTCATCCCAAGCCTGCCTCGGAAGAGATAATGCTTGAAGCAAACTAGCAAGGGATGTGTTTTGAGTGTTACTTTGTTGGCTTATAACACATCTCTTGATGTATTCAGCTATAACAACATTCATTCCCACCCAAAATAATTCAGCGGACACCCTCTCATATGTTTTCTTTTCCCCCGAGTGCCCTCGATAGATGAGTCATGGAAGGTAGATACTATCTCCGGAATTAAAGCAGAAGCAACATGTATGACCAATGTGCCCTTGAACAACAAATTTCCCTAAAGAACTACAAAATCCTTGTGTGACCAACATTAGCCTCTAGGTCTTTTTTGACCCTTTAGATATTATCTTCGGACCGTTGTTGGGCTGGATTATGCCTGCTGATAACATCTCTTGTATCATTTTCTCGATTTCATTATTTTGGAAGTGGTCTCACATTACGGTCTCACACTGATGGGTGTGGTGCCTTCCTTCAAGTTTAAATGGTGCTCTAACTGTCGTGGCGAGTGGTATACCAACTTGTTCTCGAAGTAATCCCTTGAATTGGTTAATAGTTCTTTCTAAGAAAGCAGGGATTTCCTTAGGTTTCTTCGTTTTTGCTTTAGTGTCGTATAATTCGATTAGTATTCCCTTCTCTTCCCTCTTAAGTTTCCGAGCCATTGCACTTAAGGAGGTCAAAGTTTTGCCCAAGGATCAATCACCGTTAAGGCAAACCTGCTTACCAGCCATCTCAAACTTCATTATTTGCTCCTTCCAGTTGCTTTGTGTGGTTCGTGAAGTCTCGAGCCATTTCATTCCACGTATAACATCAAAACTCCCTAGTTGTAGTGACGAAAATCCTTCCACTATGTCGATCTCTTCTAACCAGAGAATAATACTTTGGCAAATTCCTCGACCTTCTTCGCTATCACTTGTCCCCATCCTTACACCATAAGGTTCTAACTGGAATTCCCAATGATTGCACCAAATTTAGGGCTATGGAATTGTGAGTCGCCTCCGGGTTAACCAACACTACTACCTGTTGGTCAAGAATCCTTCCTTTTAACTTAATAGTTTTTAGAAAAGTCAACCCCAATGCAGAATTGAGCGAAACCTCGACCATTTCATTCACTTCAGTTGTCTCTATCGGCATAGCTTTGTCATCTTCTTCATCGTTTTCCTTCACCATGTAACGCCCAAGTCGACAGGTATAAACCTTAACCACTATTTCAATTAATCAAGGACTAGACTTGAGTACGCTGGGCGTATACAAGGTACGCACGACGTACTCCTTTGCATGCACGCATTAGGGATGACCCCTACGTACTTTGGGAGTACCCATGTGTACGCAGGGTGTACTCAAGCCAGAGGCAAACCCTAAATTGTAGAGTTTGCAACTTATTTAAGCTTATTAAGTCCTTCAAGTTCATCACCTTATTAGCCTCCTTTGCCTATTGAGTCATCTGGAAACCTTAATCCGTTTTCCTTAAAGTTTGAGCTTGTGTGTGTGTTTTGGGTGTGTGTGGTGCTTAGAGAAGAAGAAGAGCTATGAAGAAGCATTGGATCAGAAACAGCTTGTAGATCCCGTTGTTTCTTATCATTTCTAGCTTATTGTAGGTAAAAAGTTTCTACCTTGATGACTCCATGTGTTGGTTTGTAGGTTAGGGCTTATTTCATCATAAAATGGTCCTTTAAGGTATTCTTGAGAGTATGAGCTACTCCAGAAGTGTGACAACCCGTAATTTCTATCTTGTACAAACCATGCACTTCAATCAAAGTCAGACTTGTTCCTGTAAACTTTTAGCACTGTTTGGAGTCTGTTTGAGCATTTTGAGCTTAGTACACCAAAGGAATGAGTGAAAGGAAGTGTCAATTGAAGTTATAAACTAGCAAGCAAGCTATAAATCCTCAAAAGAGGAGTTTACGGCCATGAACTATGAGTTTACGCCCGTAAACTCATGGTGGGCGTAAACTCCATGCTATATATATATATATATATATATATATATATATATATATATATATATATATATATATATATATATATATATATATATGGTCCTTAGTCATTTTTCAATCACTTTTCACATTTCAAGCCTAGAAATCGGAATTCTCTCCCAAGGATCATAAGATTTTGCTTCCAATCTTCAAAAATGTAAGTGATTCCTTCCCTTTGTGAGTTAACACATCACTTCTTCTTGATTCACTCTTGAATTCATCCACAAATTTCATCTTTTGGTAGATCTTAAAGATCATCAAGAACATCAAGAACACTTAAGTGTTTTTGAACCTTAAATGCCCGTACAAGCTTCTAATACGTAAGTACACTACCTTTAGCTTGTTATATACTAGAATCACTTGTTAAACACCTTGAAAACATCAAGAAATCAAGAACAAAAGGGTGTTTAAGGCCAAGGCAATCTCCCTTGGCCGTAAACCCTAATTTAGGGTGCAATGTTGCCACAACTCCTTCCTAAGCTTTGGAACTAAGTATAGAACACTTCCAAGAAGACTATAGGACCTTAACACACAAAATGGTCCAAAATACCATGAGTTTATGGCCGTAAACTCATTGGGCCGTAAACCCATGGGCCGTAAACTCATGGGGGTCTTACCATTGGGCTGTAAACTCCTATGTGAGGCCTTACAACCCCTAGATGCAACCCTTTGAAACATTATAGTTATTATATCAATCACATGTGATTGATAACTATCAAACATATGGATTTACTATACTTTTAACTGTGTTATCAAACAAACTACTTCAAAATGTTTATCAAACTCTCTTACAATACTAAACTCTTTACCAAACTTGTTTTTATATGCCAAACCTTTTCTTTAAACTCTTTCAAACTTATATATTGTCAAAACCATGTCTAATGCATATATAGTTATATAAGTAAGGTTTGAAGGATTTAGGACTGACAACTCACTTTATTTCATGGTCCTTGTTTGGTTGTGCACTTAGAGTATTCTGTTGTTTGTCCGAGTGTCGTTTGATCCTTAGGTATATATTTAGTATATATGTATAGACATAAAAGCTTTTAATTCAGTTCAACACACTCAGTCATACAAACAACGCTACTAGTAAACTATTATAGGTATAGTTTAGAAAGTCATTACTCACTATTTCTAGTATAATGAAATATACAAAGAGTCCGCTCATACATGAGTCAATACTTCTATAAAGAGAAACAAATAGAGAATATTATAACGAGAAACAATACATACTATACACTATACAATAGAACATACTATGAAGAGAAACTAAAGGAACGTACACGATACTATACATGAGAATATACTATACAAACATTAGAATACGATAACTTAAATGTGACATACTATTTTGGATACAACAAGACATTGTTGTGTCATATTGTAATCAGAGTCTCCTGGAGGAAGAGCGGGCATTGTGTGTATAGATCTATACGGGACAGACACTCCCACACCCCGACTGTTAGCTACAGTCCTAGCCGGTAAGGCCAAGGGATGACAAAATATCACCTTACTATTTTATGACACCGAAAGGTCGTCAGGTATTCAGCCGTCAATCAGTATGGCTACAACCAGTTCACATCTAAACCTTTAATTAACCGACAAAGAATTAAAGGCAATAAGACTCCCCGAGGGGTATAACACATTTAATACTACCTGGAGTCTTTATTTTATCAACTATAGTCAGTAGTGTCACTGCTAAGATAAAACATGGTTTTCCCTATTGCATTTACTTTGTGATCTTCTCACATAAACAATAATGTAAACTATATTTTGATAATGATAGCTATAATTGGGAAAAACCCATACATTTACAAAAGAACAAACAAACAAATAGTCAAGTCTTGGTCGAAGGCTACATTTCAGTAGATAATATAGGATTTTCTAGGAAGTGCAAACATTTACAAACAATTACAAACACTTACATTACACAGTTACAAACATTTTTATACAAATAATGACACTAAAATTCTTATGAACTCACCAACTTTAAAGTTGATAAACTCTTTTAAAATAACATGTATTCTCAGGTTATCAGTAGATAGGTACCGATGCCAGCTTTTGAGAAGATGGAGCACATTCAAGACTCATCTTTTATTTTGATTCATATTTTTGGTATCTTTTAAACTATACAGAACACACTTGTATAAAATTATAATTAATGCAATGGATAACATGTGATTTATATGTGAATAACATGTGATTTACATGTGAATAACATGTGATTTAGATTTGAATTACATGTAACTCATATGTGAATTACATGTGATTTAAATGTGAATCACATGTAATTCATATGTGATTCACTTGTGATGAAGCATAACCAAACACAAATCTTCGTTGTAGCTGCTGGAGAAATCTCGGTGGTAAAATACATTCGTAAGAAAGACATAATCGATTCAGATATGCCGACAATAAATTCTGGATCGTTGATGAAACTAGTGTATAATCATTAGTTTTAACTGATTAGAAAGCTCTGGA